TCGGACAAGAAACGGCATTGTCATTTTTTTCTTCAACCCTCTTTTTGTTTTTGTGAGGTGCCTGTCACGAACTGGTCTCAATTGCTACCTAAGCATACGCACATACCTAACTGGGAGAGACAACCCCTTCTTATCCAATTATCCTCTTTTAAAACATTCCCATCAACCCACAGTACACGACGTGGTAGCGACATCATCCCCCCCACCACGCACCTTGGAAGAGGACGAAGAGAGAAAAAAAAGTGAGAGACGCGCTACGTGCAGCAGCCAGCCAGCAGACCGCAGTCAGCAGCAACACCGTCGCCGTCAACGTGCAACAACCAAAGCACACAGCCTTGAGCCGTCAAGTTGAGCCAAGCACCAACCCGCTGACGCCTGACGCCTCACCGTAAGGTACCGTCGTCTGAAGTTGCCTTACCTAAGACGGCGAACACTCACCTCTTTTTCCCTACCAGAAAAAAAAGAAGCGGGAACCTCTGCTCTCATTCAGAGCTTTCGCAGCATCCTCCGCGACCGAGACAATCGCATCCTTGCGCCGAAACCCAAGACCGACCTATCGCGACAAGGGCTTCTTTGCCGGCCCATAGTTGGAATTGTTGTTGTCGGCTTTTTTCTTCTTTCCTCTCTCACACAATAGACTTCCTTTGCAAAAGCTTCTCCCACAGCTTTTGGCGATTGACTCAGGCTTCCCCCCCTCCTCCAGCCTGCCCTTTCAGCACTTGGGACATAGAGAGAGAGGTCCCCCAGGCTTCACGACCCAACGAACGACCCGAACGTATATAGAACCACGAGATCTGTATCCTCATCCACCACCCTTCTTTCAGTCACCGCGCTTTTCCACGACCGACGACTTTTCGGCTTCTCGCAGACCCTGGATATTTTGCGCATGCGACAGGCGACTTTCCGATTAGTCTGCACTATCCCGACCGATCCATCCGCCGCCGCTGCCGCCGCTCTTCGCTTCTCGACACCGCTGTGAAAAAGCAAAAAGAGGAGGTGTTATTTTCTGGCTCGCACTTGGCGACTACTGGTACACAGGCTGCCTACAGCTCTCAACCCGCAACCCACCAAACGCGGCCGCCGCGAAAAGATTCAAACGAGCCTCACCAAAGTAGGCGACCCCCGCGTCAGCCTATCACGCCTGCCTCAAAGGCGCCGCATCAGCCGGCGACCTGGCCGATTGGATTCTCCCAACGGGCCACACAACTCGTCTTCACCCGAACCAACGACCCCCCAGAAGGCGCATGCACATTCCCATGTCTTCGAACCCTCGAAAGCGACCAGCGCCAGGAACGATACCCACCATGCCGATGCCACAGGTCCAGCAGTCATTTCCCAGCCCGACCGGCGACCAGTTCTTACGATGGGGAGGGGCAGCGGACGTTGCTACGGGCCTCGTGGACGGCACAGGGGCCCAGGCTGCCAACTCGTACGGCCTCGTCCCCGGTCAGCAGCAGCAACAGCAGCAGCAGCAGACGCCGCAGCAATTCGTGCAGCCCACACCCAGCCCCAACAATGCCGTCGCGCGAAGGCAGATGAACAGAGCACTCGTCCCGACGGGCGCGAGGCAAAACTTCGACTCCTCCAGTGACCCTTGGTCCTTTGTCGGTGAAGACTCTGCGCTCCTGCAGCAGCAACAAGCAAACGAAAACATGGCCGAGACCGACAACGTCGAAGTTCTGGAGGAGATGGCTCGCAAGGCCATGAGAGAGGCGCAGCAGAAGCGGAAGCAGATCCCGCCGTTTGTGCAGAAGTTGAGCAGGTAAGCCAGGTTTCCATTACCTCCAAAGCCGCGAGAGGGCGTGTTTTCGTGGCAGTAGGCTTGTATTGTACCCTTACTAATATTTGACAGCTTTCTCGACGATGATAAGAATTCTGAGCTCATTCGGTGGTCGGAGAAGGGCGACTCGTTCATCGTCCTCGACGAGGATGAATTCGCGAAGAAGCTGATTCCCGATCTGTTCAAGCACAACAACTATGCTTCCTTTGTACGACAGCTCAATATGTACGGCTTCCACAAGCGGGTCGGCTTGTCGGATAACTCGATGCGTGCAAGCGAACGGAAGAACAAGAGCCCAAGCGAGTACTCGAATCCCTTCTTCCGACGAGGGCACCCGAACCTGCTTTGGCTCATTAACAAACCAAAGAGCGGTAACAAGGGCAAAAAGGGCGCCAAGAACGCAGAGGTCGAGGGTGACAGCGAGGAGGATGCCGTCAACATTGACGATGGCGTGACACAAGGCTTTAGTACCGCCAGTGCACCCGCAAGCAAGGCCCTGCCACCCTCGGGCGACATGCCGATACAGAAGAAGGAGATGACGTTGATTCGAGAAGAGTTGGCCAAGGTGCGCGAGCAGCAGAGGATGATCATGACGGCGATTCAGCGGATCCAGCAAGACAACACGGCATTATATCAGCAGGCTGTCGTCTTCCAGAGCCAGCACGACCGCCATCAGAACTCGATCAACGCCATCCTGAACTTCTTGGCCAACGTGTTTAGGAAGACACTTGAGGACCAAGCGGGCCCTCAGAGTGTAAACGACCTTCTCGCGAGCATCATTCCGAACGGCAACAGCTCCAGCTCGGTTCCTCAGGGAAGCGTCGTGGATCTGGGCGACTACGTGCAAGCACAAACCTCGGCAGGAAACAACATCAATATCCCGAAGCGTCGGCAAGCGTTGCTGCCGCCCATTCCCAACGGTCGCGCGAATACGGTATCGCCGTCACCAGCTAGCGGCTCCGCGACGCCTCAGCCGTACAACCGCGAGATGGGCACGGTCACAGAACTGTTTGACACATCGCCCGGCGACCACACATCACCTACCAACTATCTAGCCCAAGAGCTCGAGTCGAATCCCCATGAGAGCATGATGAAGATTATCCACGACACGAATGCTAATAACTCATCTGGTATCGATCTCCCCCACGTCGTCAACAATACCCCAGCCACAATGAGCAACGACCAACGGAACAAGATGCTGAATGCAATGGCCGGTCGATCGTCCGCAACGCCCTCAACCAACGCCCCGCAGTCCTCCAAGCCTTCAATGTCCGCCTCACCCAATCCGCCAGCTCCATCCGTCACCGCCACTCCCGATACACCACCGCCCATGCCCGCCGCCCCCGGTCTCTCCCTCTCGCCCATCATGGGCTCCGCCGCGCCGCCACCTTCACTACAGCAAATCAACTTCAACCAAGAGGATCTCGCCGCGCTACACCGGATGCAGGAGGAGCAAGCCGCGAAGCTAGACCACCTCTCCAGCATGCTCGGACCGCTCAGCCCTTCAGGTCGCATACCCGGCATCGACGAGAACGGCAACGTAAACGGCTACTTTGACGGCGACCTGGACATTGACCAGTTCCTGAACCCGGACGCGTTCCAGGGCGACAATGCGTACCCCGGCGTCAACTTCAATGGTGATGGGAACGACTTCAACTTTACGCTCGACGGCTCGGCTCCCAATAATGGCGGGGCCAACAACAACGTCAATGGCACACCGAGCTCCACCGGGACTGAAGAGGTTCCGCGGGATAGCTTCGATGGGATCACTGGCAGCCCCGACCGCGGTAACAAACGCAGACGTGTGGGTTGATGATGATGCATGACTAAAAGGGGCCACCCCCCTTTTCACGACTTTCTTTTTAGCAGCACCATAGGTGGTGTAACGGTCTTGATCATCAAATTATCTAGAGGATGAGAAAAGAATACAGCAGAGTGTATTCCTCTGTTCTTCTTGTTTTTCTCATCTCTCTCTGGGAGGCGGCGGGTTTTCTTCGAAGTAACTTGTGCGTGGACAAAAAAGAGCATGATATCCAAAAATTGCTTATTGCTTTCTCGGTCTCTCCCTCCCTCTCTCTCTTTTCCCTCTCATTTCCCCCTATCTCTGAACCGAGTTGGGAAAGTAGGGACTGGATGGAACGGGACGGGACGGGTATGTGTGTGTGTGTGTTCTTGCTTCGGGGAAGAACTCGAGGTTTTCCCCCTGTGATTTGAGGTCGCAAAGGTGGCAAAGTCTTTTGATTTTAGGGATTTGAAAGCTACGATTGAGCAAAATTCCTAGGATGGATGGGATGGGATGGTTCTTCTTTTCTGTAAGGTAGAATAGAAACTTCGCCGCTTACGGGTGTGGTGGTGATCTCAATGCTACTCTTGATGAACAAGTACCTTGAATAATTATCTCTGTGCGTGACGGTGGTAGGATTTTTGGGGATCAAAGTGTTGTCAGGGGCCTGCTGAGAGGGCTTACTTACCCTGGACCACCGCGAGTGGGAAGTCGGTTCACTGGGGTAAGCTCTCGGGATGAGCTTCAGCTTCTTAACACGCCGCTGTGTCAGATGGTAGCGAGTCAAGGATTTCGACTCACTTAGTCGTTGGTGTCAAGATAGCCAAGACCCAGTGAACATGTGTTTGAAGATGAAGTGGGACTTGATCTTTTCGCTCACAGCCTTCTTGATGCGTGGAAGAAGCTTGGCTTGTCACTTCAAGGTATGCTCTGGTAACAGTCATTTATCGTGCCACGAATACGTGCGAGCGGCTAAGCGGTGTCGAGAGATTTTTGTCATCGATATCTCTCTACCTCGCCCAAGAATATGTTCTCCAGAGTTTCCCGAAATCCCTCCCGCATGGCCGCCCTTATCGAGGCAGCAATGTTGTTTGGTTGTCGTTTATTCGGCTTGGTCGTTTTCGGTTTCCTTATTTGGCGGCAACGCCAAAGTGGGATTTGTTGTCGAGCAAGCCGGGCCTGACTGCAAGCATTCAAGAAACCGTTACGGTGCTCTGGTAACCGGAGAGTATGTGGTGGTACTACTTCTTCTCTTCCAATGGGCGAATCATAGACAACTATGAGCAGCAGGTGAACGAGGGGTTAGGTAGTATCGGGAAGCCATTGGCAAAAGCTTCAAGACGAAATCAACACGGAGTCCACATTTTATTGTTCCCAGCTCAATACATCAGCAGACCTATAAAGACACAACCCCTCATCTCTGTCGAACCAAAGAGTTCACATGCCCTTTCTCGCATAATTGCTCTGTCTTCTAAGCTTGGCTCCCCTCTGCAGTGGCTGTTAGCAAATCAAGGGTTTACAGTACACACCCATGGAGGGCAGGTGTTGAAGGAAATGGGGCGTTCGTCCTTACCATGTACAAGATATACGGCAAAGGCACAAACGCAACAGCAAAGATGGCCAAAATCATACTCGACCCGAGCACGTCGAACCGATAATACATGGGCGGGATGAATAGCGGGAAAGTCGCCCCGCACATGGCGTTGAACAGCTCATTCCCAGCCAGGACGGAATTGACGTGGTCCGGGTACGACTCGGCGAGGTAATTCAGAATCGAAATGTACAGCAGCAACCCACCCGCCGTAAAGAGGGACGACCCGACGATGGGGACGAGGTAGTTTATCTCGGGCCGCGCCGTCCAACCGAACCAGACCAGGCTGGCCGGGATGAAGAGGCAGCCGACCATGGCCGGGTGGAGGTGCTTCTCCGGCTCGATGTTTCCCTCGCGGTCAAACTGCGGCTCGATGCGTTTGCGGTAGTATAGGAAGAACGGCGGGATGGTGAGGAGGACGCCGACGATGAGACCTAGTAGCGCGATGCCCTGTTTACCCGTGCCAAAGTGGTATACTTCCCCGTAGGCTTGCGGCAGGGCCTCGAACCAGATGTACATCAGCCCGTACGCGAAGGCGCTGTAGAGGTTCAAGAAGAAGACGGCCGGCTCGGTGAGGACAAGGGTGAAGGGCCGGACGAGGTGCGCTTTAAAGACCTCGGTGCCGGCGGTGTAATCCGCGCGCAGCTGCGCCTCGCAGACGAAGCCTGGGTCGCCGGTGACTTTCCGCAAACGCATGGCCCGTCGGTACAAAATATTATCGGCGCTCGTCTCCGGCAGGAAGAAGATGAGCACGACCAGAATCCAGGCGGCCAACCAAGAGACGATCCAGGCGGACCAGGTCCACCCCTTCAGCTCGACGGCGAAGCCGCCGACGATGGGCCCGAACGTGGGACCGGAAATGCCGATGAGGCAGAAGGAGGCCATGGCGTAGGTGTGTTTGCGGGAGACGAACATGTCGTCGAGGATGCCGGCGGCGGAGCCGAGGACGGGGGAGCCGAAGAAGCCCGCGAGGAAGCGGAAGCCGAGGAGCATGCCGATGGAGGTGGCGAGGGCGATGGGGATCTGGGCGAGGCCGAAGATTGCGAGGGCGGGTATGTAGATTTGGTTGCGGCCGATTTGAGGAATTTCGGAGAGGGGGCTCCAGACCATCTTTGCGTTCTTGTCAGTATATGGTGTACAAGTAGATGAGTACAAGGGGAGGGGGAGGAGGAGGGGATAATCGAGATTAGACTCACTGGTCCGAGACCGTAGCCTAGGACAAAGACTGTAAGTCCTAAGAGGGCCACGACCTCCGAGACGCCGAATTGCTGGCGGACGCCGTGAGTGCCGACGGTGTAGATTGATGCGCCTGCGTAGACGGCGATGACGAGGAGGCAGATGTGGAAGCTGACGATGGCTTTCTTCATGACGGACCAGTTTCTCGGGTTCTGGGATATTACACCTTTAGCTCCGATTTCCAAGAGGTGAGAGTGTGTGAGTGAGAAAAGGGGGTCAAATTTTAGTCACCTCTGGGTCGTTTGGCAAGAACTCGACGAGATGGAGGCCCTTTCTGTTCTCGATGCCATACTTTTCCCACGTCGTGCGGCTGATTGTCTGGTTGCCCAGGATCTCGCTGTCTGACTTCTCCGAGTCTAGTGAGAATGCTCGAACTTCGGTGTGTCTCGAAGCGTATGAGAGTCTTCATTTCCAGAACGAGTGGTCGCGTGTTAGTCTAGCGCCTTTGCTCTTTCGTGTGTACTTGTAACTCACCCCGAGTTCGACCGATCATAGCCATTTTCCGTGTATCTCTGACGGATCAAGGGGTGTCTCTCGTCAAAGTATTGAAACGCTGGGTGCCTGGCCCTGGTGACCGCTCGTATGACATGCCATGCCCATGTATCTCGAACGATCTCGTTGAAAGTCATGTTGCGCGCGTCGAATCCGGGGTCAACTTACTGGCTAAGCGAAAGAATCAGGTGCCAGTACAGGTTTGAGAAGATCAATCCTCTATATGAAGAGTATAAGAACAAATCGTAACGAATTCGAGTCGGTAGTCCGTCAAGTTTCAACTTTCTGAATTGTCGGGATGACCGTCATCGTCCTAAGCAACGAACAATGCAAAATTTCTTGTTTCTTGATAGTCCAACGAAACGTTGATGGCCGCGGGTTCCCGACACAAACGCCCTAATATCGGTCCCCTTGTCAAGAAACAGTGAAGTTGTGGGAGCCGTTGGAGACTCTCTTCGCTGTCCTCCGGGAGAGGCACACGGTCCCCCCCCCCCCCTCCTCTGCTTGCTCGAATACGTCCAGTGTAAAACTTTGCAAACTGAGTTGCGCAAACGTGGTCAGTTGGAGCGGTGTGGCATGGCTGAGCGGTACGGGCTGGACGTCAGGTAATGGGCAATGCACTTCCTATAGCGGTCAATTGGTTCGAGCATCCTCCTAGACTTCCGGGCGCCGCGCTCCCGGCTCGAGTTTCCACTCATTTTTCGTCCCGTCCGATCCCGCGGACTGGCCCACCTACCGGTATGGGGCCGTGTGCATCCCTCCCCCCCCGCGACTTTGGCCAGAACTTGGTCTGGGCCAAGACTGTTTCCATGCGTTTGACGTCATTGAAACAAATTGATCGAATCATTGTACAGTTGGAGCGAGGAAGAGAAAGGCGGGAAGAGTATCGGTGAGCGTATAGTTGTTCAACATACCAAGATAGTAGCCAAAAGCTGTGGAAATTATTTGGCAATCATTTCACTCGCTGTCAAGCTGGGCTAAATTTCTTTTGGTCGTTATCTCGAACGGTGTACTCGAATTCGTGTTCTCAGATTTGAACCAAGAAAGGAAAGTCTCGTCGGAGCAAGCAGACGGTATCAACTGATGTTGAAATCAAAGCGTTCGCAACAGAGTTATAAGTTGACTGTCACTCGTGAAGTGGGGGTGGCTCTCATGCGTGCACCTTTGGTCGGCACCAGCTTGAGTCGGCACCCGGAGCTCAATGCACCGATGCCGGGGGCTCCAATGAAGTGGTCCACCACGTAACTTTAAACTTCCAGTCGCAAACAACCCGCACGCATGCAGCTTGAAGCTAGCTTTGCGCCGTCAACAACAACAGACGACTATACAACAATTCGAGTTCGCGATCGAAACGAGCAGACAAATTTCCAACATGTCCGTCACATTACATACGAATCTCGGTGACCTAAAGATCGAAGTCTTCTGTGAGAGCGTACCAAAAACAGCAGAGGTAAAAAGACCCCTTCCCAATCATCCCAAGGCTTCCCCTTCGCATCCCACCCGCGGCCGCTCACCACCACCCTCAATCGTATCGCGAGACATTCTACCTAACGGACGACTAACTATTCCCTATCACAGAACTTCCTAGCACTCTGCGCATCACATTACTACGACGCCTCCCCCTTCCACCGCCTCATCCCGAAATTCATGGCCCAGACCGGCGGACCCGCGCACCCGTCGCCCCCGGACAACCCAAAGGGCGGTCGCTCCATCTGGGGCGGCGTCTTCGAGGACGAGATCCGGCCGGCCCTTAAGCACGGCGCGCGCGGCGTCGTGTCCATGGCCAACAAGGGTCCCGGCACAAACGGCTCGCAGTTTTTCGTGCTGTTTGACAAGGCGCCACATCTGGACGGGCTCAACACAGTCTTTGGGCGTATCATCGGGGACGATAGCACCGTTACGCTGGGCAAGATTGAGGCGGTCGAGGTGGATCGGAAGAATCGGCCCAAGGAGCCGGTTGTGATTGAGAGGGTTACTGTCCATGCGAATCCGCTTGCTGGGTGAGAGTGGGGATGGTCTTTTGGAGATCGTGAGGGATTATGAGGAACTATGAGGAACGGAGGTTCCGTGGATGGCTCCGGAAAAGGGAAAAAAAGATGGATGCGAGGGAAGAGATCCCGGAAAAGCTATGATACCCGTACGTCAAAAACGGTTCAAGACTGTCCTGACGGCACACAATATTTAGATGAAATGGAGAGACTTTGCTTTACCCAACCCTCGCTCGGCCAGCTAGGGGCGGTCAACCTATGTTTCCTATAAAGTGACACAGCCGTATTTAGAGTCAGAGGGAGCGTGAGAACGTGGAGACCAGACCGTGGCGTTCATACCTGCGAGTTTCCTATATTCGTCCATGTCGCTCTCATCACGATGCCCCTGAGAGGCTCGCCCTTAAAGTGGCTACAATGTCATTCTCCAAGAGGAGACTTTCGTCAATGGTGTTGAGGCTTGGTGCCCAGAGCGGATGGTCTTCATGGCAAGATAAGCAAGGCTTCTCTAGCAACTTTGCAACTTCGTGCCCCATCTAACCTCCACGTACCCAAGGAAAGACATCGAAACCCAACTTCTTGGGAGAACTCCCCCCCGAGAAAGCGTGGGATAACGCGCCGAGTACGAAACCAATGTGACTTCAAATCATCAAGATCACAAAGCGTTCTCAGCTTTCAGACAGACCAGACCGGCCATACAAAAGTCTCCGTTCAACTTAGTTCAGGCATAATAAAGGTACTCACCCCGTCACATTAAGCATCCATTCACACAACGTCACTAGTAAAGACACCAGTATTCAAAATCCAGGAATAAGAGAACAAGGATCCATAAATTCGCCTTCGCTATAAGCTACCATGACAAAAAGGCGCGAGGCATACGCAGCCAAGCCAGAGCCAGGTAAACAACTCGAACCCCCTATAATGCAAGAAAAAGAATATGGAAGACGGGGTAATAGCAAGAAACAATCCAAACTCCGCCTATGCGAGATCGGGCCAAAGTGAGTACTGGGATCGCAAAAAAGGGGTGCACCAAATAAAATGACGAGAAGAAACAAAAGGTGTGTTTGACATATCCTCCATACGGGTCATTGACACCATAACACATGTGTATGACCATTCATTTATAACAAAAAAAAACCCACTGCCCGCTGCTTCATCTTCATGGTGCCGGCGGCGCAGCAGCAGCCTTCTCCGGCTCAGCTTCCGCCGTCGCTCCCGCCTCTCCTTCCTCTTCCTCTTCTTCTTCCTCTTCCTCAACTTCTTCGTATTCAACCTCCTCTTCCTCCTCCCCCTCGCCCTCCTCCGCAACGATACCATTCTGCCTCTCCCAGACCTGTCTCCGAATCATGTCGTCCTTTGCCTTCCTTGCCCGTTCCACCTCCTCGAAGCCGCCAGACTTCTTCAGCTTCCCCTCCTCGACAAAGTTGGACAGCTCCCTCTGCAGCTCGTTCCCCTTGCGGCCCTCGAGTTCCTTCTGCCTCAGCTTCTCCGCGCGCTCGATGGCCTCGAGACGGTTCTCGTGGTTCGGCTGAAGCGCCCTCACCTCGCCGAGGACACCGTCCTTGGCCGCGTTCGGATCGAGACCGTTGCCGATGCCGTTGAGCCCCTTGGAGAAGTTGCGGGCGCTGCCGGCGCTGGCGCCCGTCCCGTTATCCTTCAACTGCTCTTTGGTGGCCTGCTCGACCAGCGCAAAGGTCTCGGACGCCTTCTCCAGGTCATCCTGCAGATCGATCATGAGATCCTCCATAAGGCGCAACTCATCACGGCCCTTGCACACGTCCTCAAGCTCCTTCTCCCAGATCTTGGTCCATATGGGCTTCTCTTCCTTCATGTAATCCTCCACCTTCTTGAGCTCCTTGGAAAGCTTCGTGATATCCATGGCGACAGTCTCCAGTTGCCTAGGTAGGGGCCGCACGCCACGAAGAACCACATCTTTACGGAGGTCCTCAACCAAATCTTGCAAGTCGTCGACCTTTGTGACGAGCCGATCGGAATCTGTGTTGAGCTGCTCGCGACCCTTGGTGACATATGCATGGCCGGTTTCACCATCAATGGTCGGTATCGAGGCCTTGACCACCGCCGCCTTGACATTGCTTGCCTTGCTGCGGATGGCTGACATGGAGCCTTGGATCTCCGACTGGAAGCTGGAGTAGGCCTGGCGCATGACAGCAAGGTCACGGCGCAGAGTCTGGATCTCGGTGATGTGTCCGGAAGCGAGCTTGCGACCGCCAGCGAGGCTCAATGACTTGGACCCATCAGCAGGCGCAGACACAGCCGGAGGAGCAGCAGCAAGCCTGGCCATTTCCGCAACCGCTTCTTGCTGACGTTCCGAAACTCGCTGGAGGGCTAGACCTTGGTCGTCTTGGTTCTGCTTCACATCCTGTACTATCTTTTTCAGTTGCCCAATGCCCTCATCGATGTGGCGTTTTACTTCATCCAGAGGCTCAACATTTAAAACCAACACTGTTCGATCCTTGATATCTGACAGATCCTCGAGCTCGTGCCTGACTCCTGATACGGGGTCTTGAATGTATATCTCTGGAAGATCAGCACCGTTGGAGTGTGTGTTCCAAGAGAACTTTTCGATAAACGCCAGTTGGAGGCGTCCAATCGAGAGCTCGCTGTACCCCTCAGGCAGCACAAACTTCTTGACTTTGGACTTGTATTGCAAGAACAAAGTGAGCTCTGTGGTCAAGGGCGGAGACTGCTCGTGAAGGAAACTGGCGTCGCGCTTCTTCTCCGGGGTCTTGATCCCTGGCGAGACCTTGGGTTCATCTTTGCGCGGTGGGTCGGGCTTGCCATCATCGTCGTCGGGCGACATAATAGGGAGATCATCGCTAAGAGGGCCTTTCAGGGTAGCGCTGGGCTTAGGGTACTTGTCTTCCGGCGTTTGTATCGTTGGACTCTCGGGCCTGCCTGCCGACAGCTCTGCTGCGGCCTCGGCACGACTCGGTGCCGGGGAGGTGTCTAGTTGCGGCTGCTTCGAGGCACGATTTTGGCGGAGTGTCTCTCGAGTCTGAACAGCACGCAGAGACTCCCGGACTTCGCCCCGCCCGCGGTTGGGTATCGGGGAGTTTTGTGATGGCAGCATTGGTACGCCGTTCATGGCACTGCCCAAGTGCTTAGATATTTGATACTGCGAGTAACGCCGAGAAGCTCTTCTCTCCAGGTCACCGCCCTTCTGCAAAGCCGCAAATGCGCTTGATTGCTGCTTTGGAGGAGGCGGCGGTGGTGGAAAAGAGTCAACGTTGACTTCTCCAGACTGCGCAGAGGGCATCGTCGCCTCGTCGCCAGGGTACGGAGGCATGACGGGGATATTTTGCATCGTCGTACTCGACATGGAGGACTGCTCCGAGTTGACGGAACCGCGCGACTGATCTCTCGGGGGCAGGTGTCGACGACTTGGAGAGGTGCTTACTGGGGCGGCACCAGCAGATTGGGAGGATTCCCTCTGAGCGTCTGGTCGATAGCCATTCTGAATGCCCTCCTCCAACAGATTCGTCAACCCAGTATTCCCACTGCCCATCGTGCTCGTGCTCGTCGTCCGCTCCGGCGCGTTAGCTGAGCCCCCGCTTTCCCTGTCTCGTGGTTGTTTTTGCCGCAACTTTTGCTGTTTGCGCTTCAATCCATGGAGCAGGTTGATGATGATATCTCGAATCCGTGGAAGATATTTCTCCAAGCTTTCGGTGCTCGCTTCTTGGCTCAAGGTAGACTCTAGTATGCTTCGTAGCAATTCGGGGACGTTGCCTAGGTCGGAGGTGTCCACGTTGATGGCAGTGAAGGCTCGGCATGCCATGTTGAACTCGTATCCTAGCCTGACGTACACATCGGATACCTGACCGTCGGTAGCTTGACCGCGCGACCATTGTGTAAGGGTTTCCAGGAGTTGTTTGGTTGCGACTAGCAAGTGAGTAACGCTTTTCTCAATTTGCGATAGGGGCATGGCTGAGCTGCTGCTGGTAGAATTCTGTAGATCGAAACTCGGTCAGCTGCTGACATACAGGAACAGTGATGGCAGAGGCACACGGGCTCGTTGCGCAACCATCGTGTCTGGTGGAAGCTCGAGGATGGCTTCTAGGTTGCTGGAATGTGTGTTCAGACTCACATTTGACCTCCGCATCCCATTTGGCGGGGCGGATCGATTCGAGGCGTTGGAAGCTCTAGGCTGCATACCGGTACCTGGTGATATTGACCGGACGGGCACATTTGGCGGCGGCCCAGGTTCGGCACCTGGGGAGCGTCGTTGCATGCGCTGCGAAGGCGTCGGCGCCTGCATCGTAACTCAAATCGGCGGGTTTCCTGTCTCTGCGGTGATCTGGTCCACCTCTTCCTTGCGCTTCCCCAAACAGATTCTCCGAGATGAGGTACCCAAAAAGTTAAGACGAGCGAGTCGGTAGACGTGTGTGGAAATGGCTGGACCGGCTCGCAAACGTTTATTGAAGCAGAAGGTTGAAGTTCATGCTACGGAAAGCAAAGACGGCGAAGGGCGGACACTGCGAAGCTGCTGCCGAGGTGTATGTGCGTACGTCGGGGCAATATGCTGAGCTTCGTCTCATCCGATGCCTAGTCCGAGGGCGAAAAGATCGATACGGCGAACGGTGTGGCGAACGGTGTTCGGCGGTAGGGGGTCGTCCGGTTCGGTGCGAAGGACGGGTGGATGTTCTGTGTGCGAGATGGAAGCTGTAGAAGCAAGGGCTAGAACGCGTCCCAAAGAAGCGAGCGGAAGTTCTGCGATATAGGTAGTAGGTGATACGTTATCGGGGATGCCGTCAATGGCGTTGTCGTCCGTAACAAGATGTGAGGCGCGCGCAGAATGTCGCAGGTTGTGTTATTAGTAGCGAAACCTCAGGGAGGGAAAGTCGACAAGCCCAGGATCGGTTGCAGATGGTAGAGCGCAAAAAGGCAATGCAGAATGCAGAATGAGCAGGAAGCACAGCACAGCAATTACGATGTGGAATTTCAGGTGAAGTATGTATGTACGAGGTACAAGTGGCAGCACGTATATGCAATGTCGAACCGTGTTCGGAAAGCGGAGAGGTCTCTGGCCGTATCCGTAGCTTTTTCGGCCCAAAGACCCAGAACTTGTACAGCCCAAAGATTGAAAGGCCCCCAAGGCCAGGGGGACGGGACCGCACACTTTCCATGCTCTGCTTTTTTTTTCTTCTTCAGTGTTCTCTCCTTCTTTAACCTTGCCCTTTGGCTGCTCCATGCCCTGGTTCGCCGTCATCCCCCTCCCCCAGTCATAGTACCTAAAGCATAAGGTACGGAGTACCTCGTGGCACGCGTGGCACGGTACTCGTCGGGTGCACCTTGAAGCGGTCCCCCCAGTCCAAGTCCGCTGCCCGTCACCTCACCCTGACAGTGGAGCGCTGGACTGGACTCCTTCCACTGGCTCCTCGGTGGCTTGACAACCCTGTCAAGGATGAATCCAGGGTGCACGTGCCCCGTTTACCAGCCACCCGACATGCAACTTGGTACTACTCACCAGGGTACTCATCACTCAGCACTCATCATTCATCACCACCACTCAACCACTATCCCAACCAAAACCATGAATATCACACCCCTTGAACCCGAAATTGCATACAACATCATGGATGAAACAGTAACGAATGTTTCAAAACATTGATAGTCTGTGATGTTTACTCTGTAGAGCGGGGTGCACTACCAACATCTCAAAGTCAATACTCATATCGTAGGGGAACATCTCAACTCCATCGCGATGGATGCCCACCTGATATGCATGTCCACAACGCATGCGCAAGGTACAACATGGAGAGAAGTGTCCGGGCGTTGCTCCGACTAGCTCCAGAATTATACGGATAGTTTGCTCTTCTTCAGACGCCCTGATGGGGTAAAAGCCAACAAAACCACGGTCAGTGCATTCAAGCTTTCCATTTATCCTCCTGTCATTCAAGTCTACCAGAGTGCCAGACCACTAAAGAGTAACGGTGTGTTTGCTCGACGTCTAAACCCTGCGAGCCGTTGTCAGAGGAAAACGAGTCTGGTGTTTCAACCTGTTCCCTCCTGGCTGGGCTGTCCATGGCTCAGGCGCATCATTACATCACCAAACTGCAACCATAGGGTCAATCCTCGAGTGGTTCATTCTACTTTATTGCCCATGATCTACACCACGAACCATTGAGCTCTTTCGAAATATTGTGCTAGCAGTTGCATCCAGAGCTTGTCATTCCTGGAATCCCGGCCACGTTTCTTGCGCTTGACAGGTCGTGACAGGGCACTGCGCCACTCGACAGAGATGAAGATCACCTTGTCGCTCTCCCCCTCAATCCCAGAGGCATGGGTTCCATTGGCACCAAAGTACGGAACATAAAGCATGAACATGGGCTACAGGGACCTTAACCCGACTCCAAAACCTATCGTGCTTAGTTCCACATCTCACCGCGTTCTACAAATAAAACTCAGCCACACCTACTTCCTACTAAGACGCCAGAATCCTTCGCATGAAAAAGAACGAGTGTACCATGGCACTCGCCAACGGGTGCAACACCCACGGCGTCTCGAACTTGACATGCCTCGCTATCGAGGTCGCGATGGTCGTCCGCGGCGAACCTGCGGTGAACATGAAGTCGTGCATAAGCTCGTCCGTCAGGCGCTGCACCTTTTCCATCCGGGGGAACATGTCCTTCTCGAACGCCTCGATCCTCTTGTCTAGATAATCGAGTGCATCTGCACCTGCACTTACGCCTGCATCACTGCTCTCGGCAACGGCGCTGATGATGGCTTTGGCTAGCTTCATCGCATCCTCAAGCGCAACATTGACTCCCTCGCCCGCAAAAGGCGTCATCAAGTGCGCCGCATCCCCAATGACTGTCACGCCGCGCCGGTGAGGCCACGTGAAGCCCACGGGCAGCATATAAAGCGACCTCGGAGTGCACTCCCCTGCAGCCATGGTGATGGCTTCGGTGAGCTCCGGAGCCCAGTCCTGATATAAGACCAAAAGCGCCTTCTTTACTGCCTCCAGGTCACGAGGATCATACCCGCAGACCTCGGGTGACGCCCAGTCCTCCCCATCGCCGCCAGTGCTCGACGCATATATACTCAGGCTGCCATCGCCCATCTGTTGAATCGAAAGACGCTTGCCATCGCCATTGGCGAAGACGCTACCTCTGTTGGCGAGCTTGTAAACTCGGAGAGCAGTCTCGGCCGCGTTCGGGATGCTCATGCCGTATAACTTGATTCCCGTCCACATAGGCTTGATATCCGGAGCCAGAAGCCTGCGGACCTTGCTCCAAGCCCCGTCCGCGCCAACAACCAGATCGAAACCACCAATAGTGGTATGTTCAAAGACGAGATTACCGTCTTCTCTGACTTCTACAAGATGGTGATCCCATTTAATCATGTCCGGCGGAAGAGACGCCGCAAGAATCTCACGCAACTTGGGCCGGTCAATCTCCGGACGCTCCTGCAATGCACTGCCGAACCCCGTCGCGGAGTTGACGAACCAGGGCTTGTTGTTCTTGTCGACGATGGCCATGTACTGGCCGTCGTACCTTGCGTGCTCGAGGAACTCGTCAAAGAGGCCTGCTTCCTTGAGCGCGGCCAGCCCGGTGTCTGTGTGTAGATCCAGACTCCCGCCCTGCGATCGAAAGTTTGGTGAGGCTTCGCTCTCGAAAACGGTTGCTTCGATCTTGGCTAGGTGTAAGAGGCGTGCTAGTAGACATCCTGACGGAAGATTTGTCAGTTTGCAAGCTGACTTGAGGAACCCATATGAGTGTGGTGCAGTAGATGTTTGAAAAATAAGCAGCTTACCTGCAGGTCCTGCTCCTACGATTGCTATCTTGGGATTTGACATGGTTGATCAGGCCTGTCAGGTGGGTGGCGGCAGTTCAAGATTCACGTAATTAATGCTTTGTGACGATGAGACCGATTAAAGATACTGGAGTAGACAACACCAGTGCTCTGCTTAATTTAACAGGCTTAAAGTACTTAGAATATGTGTATTGGAAAGTATTGTTGGGTGAGATTAACGTTGTACATAAGCTATATCCTCACAAGGCAAGACCTATGGAATGAAGTTTATGTGGACAAGAGCGTGTTATGTACATACCGCCGGGTTGGTGGTGCCGGAATTGAATCAACGACGCCGCCAGTCTACGATTTTAGTCTGTCCGTCTCTCAATCATTCAATGAAGAAGCAGGATGTCTAGACGTGTAGCGCTCTCGTGCCCGCATTCGCTAGTAATTGCAGGTGCAGCACTCAAAGTCATCAGTCAAGGACCCCAGGAAATTGTCCAAGAACATGTCGTATGTGGCTCATGATTGCCCCGGAATCCCGTTTAAAACGAACTCCTACTCCGTAGACTGGCAGCTTTCCTGCGAAATCCGTTTCACGCTGTAAGTCTCACTGCGCAGTGGACAGGTCAAAAGCGATGACGCAGCTGAGCATTACAGCCTCAAGATAGTGCGAAGCTTGACGCCGATTAGCCGTAGCCTGTTAGTCGCAAGACCCGGCTCCAATGAGGCTACTCGTAGTGACAAGCGACGAAGATTTCAGGTCGTTTTGCTACAGTGAAGTTTGAATATCAGAAAGGGATCCTGCCATCTCATCTTTCTGTGTTCTGAGTGGCCAAGTGCCCAAGTACCTCAGAGCGAGATGGAACCGGGCAGAGAAGAGTGGAGACCCGCTCACCCGTCCAGTGCCGTCCCTGTCGCTTGAGGCTCTGTCTGCCTCAGGCCACAAAGGCATCGAACTCGGAGCTTGCACTTCGGGGAATCCAGAAACCTTCAATTGATCACATCCGCCCGAGCTGACTGCCCCCCCATATAACCTCGTCCATCAACAAAACCAAACAAACCGCCAAAATGGTCTTCGCCTGGAAAGCCGCCGGTATCACGTGAGTTCAATTGACGACAACCTCCCGAGTCTCTTTTGCATCCGTGGCAATTGGGCAACACCCGCGACTGAAGCCGAGAAAAGGAAAGGAAAAAGCTAACCCGGCAACCCCCGATTTCCAGCTACAACCGCTACCTCGCCGTCGCCTCGCGCGTCGTGCGCCGCAGCTTGAAGGAGGACAAGAGACTCATTGCCGAGCGTCGTGGAGAGATGGATCTCCGTTTCGCCAAGTGGGAGGTGAGAAGCGATCCGACCATATGACGATGGGCATCGAACAGAATGGCTGACTCCTATGTACCGCAACTGCAGAACGGCAAGCAGGGTGAGGTCAAGAACCTTGCTGAGGCCACCGTCAACGTTCCTCCCCCTTCTTCGTAAACTCCGAACCGACACACGTGTGAGAGATAAAGAGGGAATTGCATCCAAGGTTATCGAGGGATAGATGGGGAATGATGGGGAGTGAAGACACCTCCCCGGGTACCCGCCGGCTTCAACTTGACAGTTGAGCTGCTGTATCATATCAAAAACTGGGCATAAAATCTATCAATCGAAATGCCATGCTAAGACTTTGTTGATCGATCTAAATTGAATACGTGCACTACCAAGCGCTGGTGATGAGATGTTGCGATGTCGGGGGGACGGGTTGCAGGTGACTGGCGCGCGCTCTCTCGCTCGACGTCGGCCAGAATGTTGGGCGTGCTTTCCAGGTTTCCTCCACCCAAATTTGCCCGCCTGCCGGACAAATTCGGTTGTGAACGATCAATGACTCTATGCTTCCCGTCCCATATACCCGTAACTTGCATCAACACCGAATTCGCAATTTTTATATTGAAGCAAAAGACTGTACTGCTGCACTTTTATTTTCAACTGCTTGTTGGAATCATTTCAAAAGAGACTAAGGCCAATCATCGTGTTCCCGAATTTACCGGCCATTTTTTCTCCTTGATGGGCATACCCATGCCCAGGCCAATGCAACTGTGACCTCACTAAAACCTGCACTCAACGCACTCACTCACCCCAAGAGTCTCATGAGGTGCAGTTGCTGATATGGCCATCCCGTCCGGCTTTGGAATGTCTGATGGTAAGAAGTTATTGCAGCCCGATTAAGACCCTTTTTTGACATCACGTCCCACTCACCAATTCTCAAGACATTTCAAGGCTCTCGCTCGAGCTAGACCGTCAACCCCACCCCCCGCCGCCGCCTCCGCCCAAGGCGTCGAATAACGGCATCGTCGCTTTTGATATCACGTCAAAGTTCAAGACTGCCGCCGAAAGTAAGCTGCAGAAATTTCACCTACATGAGGACAGGATGTTGGACTGACTCTTTACGCAGCGCTTGCCCCTGGCGAACTGGTCAAGGATGGCTTCTTCACACTGTTTGAGTCCGTTGGGGCTCTAGAGGTACGTGGGCCGATGGGGGGTTTGACGGAGACTATGAGAGGCTCCCTACTGACAGCAACCTAGATCATGGACCCGAAGATGGACAGCGGTTGCTTGGAAGCCGAGGATTCGCTAGACGTGGACTATGATGTGACACGCCCTCTTCTCCCTGAGGAGGTTCTCGGCATAATCGACCAGCTGCTCTGCCACGAAGTCAGTATCGCGCCGTAAGAGTCACTTTCTCTCTGCTGACTTGGTTTGCAGATGGCCTGGCATGTTGGATACCCCCTCTCTCAGACCGTCCTCACAAGTCTGTACGTCGAGTCGATTCTCATGCCGAATCCTGCCACCATCGACGACGCCCACTTCATCAGGGATGCCAGCAATACGCCGCCGGCGCCGATGCATGCCGTCCTTCGAGCGTATTGCTTGGGGCTGTTGAAGACATGCGGTAATGTCAACGAGAGGATCAAGAATGAGCATTACTATGAAGTCAGTCTCTCGGCAAAGTGACTTCCTCACCTATAGCTAACCAACTGATATAGGAAGAGGACTTTGTCACAAATACGTATAACAGGATCCTCCTCGACGATTTCAGCATAGAGTCTGTACGCGATGTCCTGAAGGACGCAAGTTTCATTCTGCGGCAACTATCGGATTCAATACCAAAGGAAACCATAGACGCCCTCAACAATAGGCTGCTCCTCCGGTACACGTTCCTCGCAGCGATAGACCACACGCAGTACCGGACAGATCCGGCCCTCATCAGAAGCCCCTGGAAAGAAGCTTTGGACTTGCTTCCTAACATTAAGAGCACCCATGCGCTAGGCAAATCCGTACCGGAGGCTTGCAGTGCGAAACTGCAGCGCAAGCTCGCCAGCACGATGCCGCCGCGGCCCATTGTTGAGATCAGTTTTGACAACGCCTTTGGACACCTCACGAAGATGATCAGCGACGGGCTGGAAGTCGTCGGAGTGCTCGACTACACCGACGCCATCTGCCTCCAGGTACTTATCCCCCAAGATATCCGTATTCTGGTCAACTACTCACACACAAAACGTCTAGACCTACGTCACAACCTTCCAAGCAAAGAAGCCTCAGCCCCTAATCTTCGTCCGCACCCTCCTCCAAAGCTTCCTCTTCAAAGACATGCAAGTCCTCGGCCACAAGTCCATCCGCCAGCTCCTCGACGATGACCTCGCCATCGTCTCCCTTCCCAACAGCCCCCTCCTCGACCGCGCCAACGACGACGTCGAGGCCCCGCAGGACCCGCGCTACGCCATCGCCGAGAGCATGGAATCCTTCCGCATGCGCGCCGCTCAGCCCTACCTCGACATCCTCCGCACCTTTTGCCAGAACCGCTGCCGCGTCCGCCGCACCCTCTGCCACATTGTCCGCGACTGGGAGAATCTCCAGTTCGAAGCCGAGGATATCGACCAAGTCATCCAAACCCACGCCGGCGAGCGGCCCCTTGTTTATCAGTCGGCCACCGGCCAGCCCGTCGAGCAGTGGTCCCTCCCGCTCTCGTCGTGGGCGTACCTGTACAAGATCAAACAGATGGAGTGGATCGTCCAGCTTGGCTTCGAGCTCGAGGTCTACCAGCCGGACGAGCTGGCCGGCATGTACTGGTACCTCAACTTCCTCGCAAAGAACCGCCTCCAGCACGTCGAGCGCATAAAATCGTTCGTTGTTCGCAGCCTGAACCAAGCCCGCTCAGGGGCCAGCAGCAACAAATCAACATCATCATCATCATCATCATCCTCGGGCGGCCTCACACCCGCCGCAGAAGCCCAATACACCAAATCCCTCGCCTTCCTCCGCCAAACCCTCCTCGACGCCGCCGCGACAGAAGGTCTCGCCGACGCCCTCTGCTGCCTCTACACCGTCCTCCACCGCCACCACCTCATCAAACCACCTCCGCGACCCTACAGCACCGACGAGCTCCGCTACGAGCTGCGCATGAAACCCTTCGCCGCCATCGGTCTTCCCTCGCTTCCGACCTTTGAGGAATACACCATCGGCACCTCGCAGTCGGACTGCCCGACGCGCGACCTGCTGGAGCTCGCGGACCGGGCCGTGGCGGGCGCGAAGAGGGCGCTGGAGGTCATGAGCAAGTTTTCCGAGGCCGAGGCCTTCTCCGTCGGGTCGCATGATCGGTGGGTGCCGTCGGTGAAGAACGGGCTCAAGGCGTGCATCGCCACGGGGCTGGCCGTCTCGGTTGTGCGAAAGGCGTTGGACAAGTCGGACGGCGAGGGCGGGGATCTGAAGGTCAAGGCCGAGGTGCCGACTCCTGACAAGTCGTATCACGAGTGGTGGATCGTTCCGCGAATCATACCTGTCGCATGAGATTTACAAGTTGTTGGTAGAGACGATGTGAGGCATATGCATAGTAGATATGTAGTGGATTATTGATATCCTACTTCCTAAGAAAAAAACAAATTCATAGAATACACCCACCCACCTCCCTTCCAAATTTGCCGGGAATCATGTGATACCTAAATTTCAAAAGTAACCCATGTGTTCAACGCTTTGTCCAACCCATTTTTTACCCCCGTGTTGATATTCCCACAAAAAAATCAATACAGGTTCTTGTCTTGTCATACAAAATGACTGCTTTGCATATATGCTGAGCGGCCCACGCTTGATATGCGCACTTGTTGCCTCTAGCTTGCTTGTTTCTATATATATGCTGATATATCCGATCCCTCCCACCTACCCGAGGTCATATTGTTTGACTCAGAGCGGGGGAGGAATAAGTTGGGGATCTTTTTTGACGTTAATTTACGCGCGCTTCTTGGCGGCAATCGACCTGAGCTTAACGGTCTGCTCGTAGAGAACGTCCTTGAAGGCGAAGAGCAATGCGGCGGTCAACACACTTTGGGTGACCTTGGGGCCGATACCTGCGGAAAAAAAAAAAAGAAGGTCAGCTTTGTAGATGGAAAAAGGGGGGGGGGGGGCACCATCTCGGAACAAGATCCGAGGTAACACTCACCCTTGTAGAGACCGGCGTATCCCTCCTCCCGGATGACCCTGCTAATGGCCTGAGACATTCCCTCCTTCTTCTCGCCGTTGCCGGCGACGTGCATCTGGCTCTTGACCGTGATGTACGGGTAGGTGACCGAGGTCGCAAACAGCTTGCCCGCGGCGCCGAGGAAGAAGGCAATGGTCGGCGTGACCCGCCTCTTCTTCTCGACCGTGTTCTTCATCTGCTCAAAGAGGGTGTACTGCAGGATGGGGTTGATGACGAGCACCAGCGCCGGGATGACGCCGTTGAAGAGGGCCTGGGGCCCCTCGTTCTTGATGAGCGCCAGAAGGGTGCCGATGGTCGAGGGCGCCTTCTTGGGCTTCGCGGCCTGGGCCTCCTCGTCGGTGGAGCTGCTGGCCTCCTTGCCCTTGCCGCCGCGGGTGGTCATGCGGGTGTTGACGACCCAGATGGGGTTCGTGATGATGACGGTCGCGGAGCCGGCGATGGCGCCAGCGATCATGGACTCGACGGTCGTGAGCTTCTTGCTGGCGCGGCCGGCCTTCTCGGCGGCGGCCTCGAAGAAGGCGCGGGTCCACTCGTACCAGTAGTAGTAGACAAAGTTGGTGACGCTGATGCCGAAGAGGGCGGATTCGAGGCCCGAGTAAAGGCCCGAGACGCCCTCGCGGGCCACGATCTTCTGGACGGCCGTGAGGAAGGCCGAGTCGGCGCGCTTCGATTCCACTTGGGCTCGGGTGGAGAGGGTGATGAGAGGGTAGCTGTTGGTGCGGCAAGCGCACACGCGCGCGTGGGTTAGAAAGTATGTTCTCTTTTTGAAAGTTGTAAGACGGGAGGGGGGTTTTGCGGTGGCCTTACGTCAGGGCCATGGAGAGGAGACCACCGCCGGCACCGGCGAGGGCGTGGGCGACATTGTCGTTTTGGGGGAGGACTGGCTTCGACATGGTTGCTTGCGAATTGAGTTGAGGTTGAGTGGATGGTGGGTGTCGTGTCGTGGTATAAGTTCGTGGGCGAAAGGTTCGATAGATGGGACGATGGTATTATCGATTCAAAACTGATGCTGTATCCAAATGCGGGTGACGATGGGGTGCAGATGGTATCGTTGCGACGGTTGTAGTAATAATAATAATAATGGCAGTGGTAGGAAAGGTTGCTGCTGACTGGCCCTACACCATCTCAAACAAGAACGTTCGGTCCCTTTTGGGTTCTGGGGAGCCGAGGTCAAGCACGTTTTCAATGCCGAAGGGGGGGGGGGTCGGAGGGAGTGAGGGAGGGCAGTGATGGGCGTCGTTGTCTGCCGCTAAGAACCTTAACCCCAGTTATGTCATTACCTGCCGTGCTATATATTTCATGCGCGCGATCACAGGACAAGGGGGATGACAAAGGGGTCGCATGTGATGGGGCTCTCCCCAGAAGTCTGGTACCGTGGCACGCCTGGCACGGCCTGGGAATCCGGGTCCCTTCGGGAGCTCGTGGGGTCGGAGCTATTTCGGGGCCCGGGAAGATATGCTTCATTTGGGAAGAAAATACGCTTTCCATCTTTCTTTCTTTCTTATGGCTTTCCCCCCCGAATGATCAAGCGCACAGTGAATGCAACACCTGAATAGAAGGAAAGCAGCAGCAAATTCAGAGCCATGTAGCAGTATGATCATAAATAGGAACGTTGTATAAGGCGGGAGAATTTGTACCTAGTGATATCTACCCGACAATGCCTCGGCACCGGCTCCGTTAGGATGTAAGTCAGCCATGGTGCATTTGAAGAAACGGAAATACTGCCGAGCATCAAGGTAGAGAATGCCTATCGCATCCGCCTGATAGACCAGGGTAAAAATTTCGATCATGGCAGCTTTGCGACCCTCTTTCGATAAGGCCAGGGCAGCAAAGGCATCCACCAGCAGTTTCCGTACTTATTCAAGGGCGCATCAGCTAACTCTTCTCGAAGAAGCTGGAGAGGGACCATTTCGCGGGCTGGGGATCTGGGTGGGCCACCTCAATGACTAGAGCGGGACAGATCGGAACAGCGGGGAAAAGTTGTTCCCCTGTCATCGCAACCTCAATGGCCTTGAAAGCTGACGGGACGGGACCCCCGCGACCGAGGGGCTGCGCTAAGCCTAATCTGGGACTAAGTAAACAAAACAGATTTGACAACCCAACTGGCCAGGACCCGACCGTCCCTCTGTGCAGACTGAGGTGCAGCCCGCATGTACACGGCCACACCACTTCGCGACGGCCCTTATCCAATGCATAGAATTTGACATATTCATATTGCTAGTTTCACACGAAGGCCACTGAGCCTAGTTTTTTGTCGTCCTTTCTTCTTTCGTAGAAGAGTCTATGCGAGAAACATAGCGCGGCCGTTTTTTTTTCTTGGTTCTTTTTGCACTTGCATTCGCGCATTTCTCAAAATGGCGACGCCACGACCTAGAGGCGGTAGCGACGAGCTGCTTTCGTCGCCAGACCCGCTCAACGACACCGTCTCCTCCGCCCTCTACCCTTCATCGCGTCGCGTAACTCGAAGTCAGAGATCACAACGTCTATTCTCCCTCGGCGGGAGTAGCACTTCGCCTAGAAAGCAAATGTTCGAGCTCGAGGTTGGCGACGACCGTCAGCCGAAACGGCTGCTAGTGACCGTTGAAGCCGAGGGCGATTATGAGAATATCGGTGTCGGGAATGTTGGGCGCAGACTGTTCAACGCAGACACACCCACCCTCAGCCGCGGCGCATACACAACAACAGTTCCTTTGGCCGGTGATAGGAAGAACACGGCCGTCAAGACACCCGCGCGGAGGGGTCGACCTCCCAAATCTGCCGGAACGCCCAAGACCGGTACGGCAACCAAGAGGAGAGCCACAGCTTCTCCACGAAAGACACCAAGACAAGCCCGCAGAGTCAAGACTATTACCGATTCAGATGGCTTAGAAACCGACATCACCATCCAAGGCACACCGAGATCAACCGCCCGCCCGAGACGGGCCACCAGTCGTCAACCGCGCGAAGTCTCCCAAGACCCAGCGCCTTCTTCGATACCCCCCAGCACAACCAGACGTCGCGGCCGCCCGAAACGCGTCGAGTTTTCCGATCAGCCTGTGGAAACGGTCGAGGACGATATCGAACTTGGTGGCATGGCGCCTTCTGACGACGGTCTCGCAGCGAGCATGGAAGACATGATTGTAGACGATCCCACACCGAGGCGAGAGCTCCCCGCGAACCCGATGCCGGAATCCGAACCAGATATCTGGATGCAAACAATGTCAGACCAAGCAACGCCACGCGCATCAGCACAAGAGAACCCAATCGCTCTCAGCCCGACACCAGCTTATATGCAAGATAAGAGCCCAACACCGTCTGAACAGCTTCACTCCGAATCCGAGAACGAACCCGCATACAACGAATATGATTTCGCGCCGGGTGCGCCTAGTGACATCTCATCACTCATTGGCGACAACGATGGCAATGACGAACTCCTCGAACAGGATACTGTTGCGCAAGGCGAGGATTTCAGTATGATTTTCGCCAACTCTATCCCCTCCATGAGGGGCCACATGAGCATGCATGACCTTCGCTCAGAAGATGTTGGTGAAGAGACTGGCTTGATCGTCAACCAGACCCTCGAGACTTTAAGGCGAAGCGGGGCCCTGCATGTTGACGATGATGAGGATGAGGTCGAAAGCATCCCCACCAAGCAAACCTCACCAGTGCAAGTTCTTCCAGCCCAAGAGGAGGAGGTTGAGCCGCAACAGGAGATGGAAACGCATGTGGATTCTGTTGTGGGCACAACTGCTGAAGAAATCGAATCTCCGGTTGCTCTTCCGTCACTTCCTCGTCCGGATCTCCCACCTCCGTCTCTCTCAGCCAAGGAAATGTCACCGAGCAGAGGATATCAGTCGCCAGGCCGAGCTAGAAGCAGCCCTCGACGCAAGTCTATACCGCTTGGCAGACAGCTTATGGAGTCCAAGGTCAGGCAGATGGATGCGGAGAACTCAAGGCTGGAGGACTCGAAGATGGACACCTCGCAGATTGACAATTCGTTTTCCAGCGTACCCTCGAGAGTTTTGGCTGCAGCGACACCTGGTGCTAAGAGCACCAGGCGTAGCTCAATGGTGAACGAGGAGATGTCTGTCATGTACGAAGACGACTTCTCTGAGATCCCGGAAGCCTACCTGGAAGCTGCTACGCCTGGGAGGCCGAAGCTGCCTGAAATCAATGACCATGAGACGCAGTACGAAATCGAGCAAGAGATTGGGCGAGAGGCCGACGTCTCTCAGACACACGAAGAGACCTTGATGGACGAAGTACACGATGAGACCGTTATGAACGAGGCACAGGAAGAAAGCATTATAAATGAAGCACAAGAAGAAACCATTAT